AGCCCCTCCTCACACACCACATGGTGACAACAGGTAGCAGCTGATAGCCCCTGACCCCTAATTACTCTGCTGAAATAATGTGCCCTCCTATTTGTTGTTCTCTGAGCCCATATGTTCACCGTTCCGCACTGCCCTGGCCAATCCATTAGCCCCTGAACCCATTGATCATCCATGGCCACACCAGCAGAAGACATGAATGCTCACACTGAATGATGACTAAATTAGACTTCTTGCTACTTGGGATGGGTTAATAGTTTAGCAAGCTTGATGTTAAGAAAAGTCCAGGGTAGGGAGAGGTTAGAAATAGAGCTCAAAGGAATGGCTGTTTGGGTCGAGTTTTTACAGCCACGACATCCAGGACTTGCTGGATACTTTTATAATACAAAAGCCTGCACTGAAAGCGCCTTGAGATATCCAAAGCTCGGTGTGTGTTACAGACATTTGCCATGGCCCACTTGAAAAGGAAAAAAATAAATACATCCCAACCCCAGAGTCAAGCCCATGGGTTTTCATTCCCAACATTTTCATGCCAAGACGGAGCACAACGTTCCCCGGCACGCCACGCGGTCCTGTGCTAACACGATTAGCCAGGCAGATCCACCATCCAAATAAGTCCCCCCCAATGCATGGTCAACTTTGAAAAGTTCAGCAGCTCAACAGGTGAGGCCATGAAACCTGATCACAGCAGACAATGTCGTCCCCCCCCAGCGTCGTGCTGGGAAGAACTTGTCACGTGCGTCATATCGGGCAACATGCTTGAAACAGAGCAGTGCACTGAAACCCCAGCAACACGAATAATCTTTGCCATCTGTTTGAACAACTCAACCCTCCTCAGATCTAAAGGAATGATCCCATGCTAACACAAGGGCCTTGCTGACTGATTGTAGCAGCCCAGCTCTTCCTTTTTGGGGCCATTTTCTTTCAAACTTTGCACAGCGGCTTCGGCAACGTCACGGGGAGCTGCGGGAAGGGCCAGAGGAGCACTGCAGCCACTGAGGGGACCACGAAAAGTCCCAGCTCACTAAAACACAACACAATGCAAGGTCAACAGTTGATTTTTAATTATCTTTTTTCTTTTCTTTTCACAAAAATCTTTGAAAGCAGCTTGGCAAAGCCACTGCAGAGAACACAACCTGTTCTTTAGGATACGCTCATTCCAACCAAACAGCTCACGGGAACGTGCTGGAGGAGTCAGTCTTTGCTCAAATACCATCGTTTGTACCCAAAGTTCAGTTGGGAGAACCAACACCATTCCCAAGTTCCCTGGAGTTAATGAACCTTTCAACACCTGATGGAAACAACATGTTGAGTTTTACAAGCACCCGGCCACGTCCACGCCAGCACTGAGGCGCTACCAGCTCCACTGTGAAGTTGTGATTTAGAAGGGCCAAACGCGGGGACAAAACCCTGCCTGGCTCAAGCCCTGCCCGTGATTCAGCAGAGCTTCCACCCCTCATCCTTTGGCCATTACTGCCTTCTCCTTCCCCTGCTCCCAGCCTGGCCCATTGCAAGCACCAGCACTGTGCTGCCCGTACCCCCACACGCTCCTTGGAGCAAAAAAAGAGGCTCCTAGGGCAAAATAAATACTTTTTTTTTTTAAATCAGGAAGTTTCTCCCTATTTAGGAATTGCTAGGTAGCAGCACTTCATTCACCAAGGTCCCCAGTGCTTATTTAAGTGATTGGGGAGTCTAAGAAACTGATGTTTGAAGCTGTTTATTGCACACCACCAGATAATGGGGCCTGATCCTGCAGACCCAAAACCACCCACAGCATCAGCACGGAGAATGAATTCAGGCAGTTTGGCAACAGCAGGAAGATGAAGCCCCAGTGTTTTAAGAATTTCCTTCCCCTCACAAAAAAAAAACAACAACAACAAAACAAAGCAACAGAAAGGAACAAGAAGAGGTCTCCCCTCTGTGCTGGCAGAGGCAGGGGAGCTCAGGCTAGCACCGCCGCAGCCGGCATAGCCCACATGGGGTTTCCTAGCAGAGGGCTACAGACTTGTCATATAAATCAGTGATGTTGAGCGGGGCTGGGAACACTCAGCCCACAGCAGGAGGCACTGGGTACTACAGCCCGCTGGGCCTGAAATGATCTAAACATGAAAAAAACCCCAAAACCCCTTATTACATTAATAACAAGACCTTTCGTTCTTACCTTACGGTCATTACAGGACAGAAAGCTTTCAAGTCCCAAGTATATTAAAAAACGCATCGTTGTTGTATGAAATAATTAAGAAAAACAATCTCAATAACTGATTTTTGAGGTTTGCAAGAATTACTCTTCCCCTCCACAAACATAGAGGAAGCCTGTAAGGAAACAACAACTTCCCAGCGGGCAGGGTGTCTGTCCCTCTGGATGGACGGACACAAGCACGGCTGCGGAGCCCAGCTCCTCGCTGCTGTGGAGAGGAAACTTCCTCACTATCCAAAAATCCCTAGTACTACTTAAAAATTAGTCTGCAATAGTGGCTGGATCCCGTTTCTCCTCTGTCATGGTACATATTTCCATGTGAAGCAGTGAACATGCTGCTTTCATTACCGGGGGGAACACCCCGCTATGTGCGCCCAGAAGTTATTTCCATCAGATTTCTGGTTATCTCAGGATTGAATAATCCATTTATTTCTCCCCTCGTTTCCCTCTGCTTTTTAGGAACGGAGGTCAGCATCACTTGGTGCCATTTTTCCTTGCACACAAAGGAAAAATAAAAACCCCAAACAAAGCAACAAACTGATTTTGTTTCACTTGACAAAAAAAAACTGAAGTGGAAAAGAAAAGGTTTGTGCTCTCCCCTTCTAAAGTTATTTTACATAGATGAGAACTTCAGGCAGAGAAACATAAATACAATTAATCACTAATACCTCAAAATATAAGCTTTCATCAAGCTAAATAAGAAAATTTGTGATGCCTTCTGCCTCCTAGAAGGAGAAACTTGGTTATACGGCAGAAACAACTTAAACAAAGGAACCAAAACCTCCTCACAGATACGACCAGTTTGGCCAAGAAACCCACCAAATAAAAGACACCCTTAGTCAGACAGGGGTCAAAAATTGCATCTTGATATTTTCAAAGGTACAAAATTAAACAGCAAGGACGGGATGCTGAGGGCACATGTAACTTGCCCAGTTCCAAAGTTCAGTCGGTTCGTGCAAAAGCATCTGAGCACCAGAGGCTGCCCCGCTCGCTGCGGCCGCGGGCACCGCCGGGCTCGGCAGAGGGTTTAACCCGATTTTATCGGGCCACTAACAAGAAAACATATATGCACCTCCTTATTGACATTTAAGATAATAAATAAAAGCCTCATTAGGGCTTGGAGAAACGAGCACGCTCCCGAGGAGCGCCCGAGAAGCCAAAACTCAGCGCGGGCAGCGAGAGTTTGGAGCCACAGAGAATCTGATTTCTAACACCAACATTTATAGGAACAAACTTCTGCGTGTAACTCCAACTGAAGTAAGAAATAACGCACAATTACCAAACGGCTTGTCTGTTTATTTGAGCAAATACACCCTCCACCCGTATATTTTGCATGATTTAGTCCTTCCCTCCCCCCAGAAATAAACCCGGGTCCCAGCCCCGCTGCGATCCTCGGGGTGAATCTACCCGAGTGATTTCCAGACCTTCAGCATCACTCACACTCACTGCTCCACCCTTCAGATTTACTGTGATTTCGGTGAAACCATCCCTTTTTGCAGAGATGACACTGACGAGCAGGGCGTGGGCAGGGATGGGGTCCGTGCTGCTGAAAACCAAGCAGCTGATAACGTGAAACTTCACCAAGTTACAACTTTTCACTCCAGCTCCACCAGATTTAAAAGCAGAGGGTGTGTTTTAAATACTGACTTTTGCCCACCGCATCTGGGGTAACAGATCAACGGAACCAGAAGTATTATTCTCTCCTTCTCCCCTTCCACCTCTCACTTGTAAAAGATTAATCAACCATTTTACGGTCTAATTTAGGTGCCTAATTAAAAACAGAGTTCAACACGTACAACACCATTTTGCTAATAAATCCTGACAGGTCTCCCGCTCTGTTACATGCGGGTTCCCCTTTCAAAACGCGAGATTATTCTTGTTTTTTTAAAAAAAACAACTGAATCTGTGAAGGTTTCACCGCGGCTGCCGAGGGAGGAGACGCCGCGTCCTCCATCAAACCCCTAGAATTTCATAAAACTCAAGTGCTTTCAAAAAAAATGACTTCCTCCTCGCCAGATCTCACCCAGCCTTCATTTCCCTGCCTGCTGAGGGACGGCAACTTTAAAAAAACAGAGATATAAACCCAATCGGACTTGAAGGGTGGGAGTTTCAAGGCTACAAAAGGGCTTGAAATTCAGAACTTCACCGCTCCCATCCCGCTTCAAAGCCTCCATCTCTGCTCCTTCAGCCTTCCTGCAAACACTCTGCGGAGAGACATGTTCAAAATATGCCTCGATAAAGGAATTTCGATCACAAAGGGATGACAAGACACGGAGCGGCAGCTCGGAACCCACGTCCCACCAGGGCTGAGGGCACCGGGGCTCCCGCCTCTC